CAGGACAACATCCTCCTCTTTCCTACCTGGTGTCAACAGTAACACAGCCGACAAGTGAGATTTTCCTCAACACTCCCAAATACCCTCTGTGAGCTTCATGTATCTAAAATCTTGATGGCGTGAGGAAAGGTGGCACAGAAAGAAGTTTAAACAAGTCTTTGTGCTGCTGAGGATACAAACCTGAAGTGCCGACACCTCTCCATCTCTTGAGGGACATTTGGGACACTGCACTCAGGACATACAGTGAAGCTATTTGCCTACCTCATCCTACTTGACAATTGAAAAATCTCTATGTCCGATCCCTTTGAGCTAGGACAGGACCTAGGATAACCAGTGTGACACAGATCACCAACTGGGATCACCACTGATTTAGCTAGAAGAGCTGTAGACCACATACACCACAGTATGGGGTGCCTTGCCTCTGTCACTGAAGATAAAGCTGCAATACTCCTTAGGATTTATTTTTTTCAAAGTTTTCTTTCCTCTTGTATTTTGGTGAGAAGTTTGCAATTAACAGCCAGGAAGACAAGACATCATCCCGATCATTTCCAAACCAGTTACAACCTCAAATGCAGTATCACTTGGGAGGGGCGAACTCACAGCTCCCTTTGTTAAAGCGAATACCAAACACAGTAAGCAATTTCGCAACACACAAACCAATTCACTAAGAACGGGACTGAGACCGGCAGCTCATTTCACACCAATCCCTTAACCAATGACCTCTGCTGTTACCATGCCACCTCAGGTAAGAGATGCTGATTTTTAAAAGCTAAGTATTTTGATTACTGCCTATGTTCTAAGATCCCTCAGGTCCTTTAGAACACAGATATTTGCAAAAGATACCATCTTGCAGGAAAGCAAGCAAGAGGTTAAAACCACAGCAAAGAAGAAAAGCCTAAATGACATTAGCAGAGGCCCCAAAACTGGAGAGTCATTTCAGTCCTGAGCAGGTGTGCAGACCTCCCTCACCTCATGAGCTGATGCTAACTCTGTCATCCTCTGATCGGCACACTTCCTCCAGAAACATGCCCCTCCTCTCCGCTGCCCCTCATGGAATCCCTTCATCCTTCTCCTGAGGGAGCATGGCTATGAATGACATCTCCCTGGGAGTTTACCAAGACACATCAAAACATCATCCTAACCAGGAATTAACAAAAGTGGCACCTGTCATTTTAATCTGTTAAATACAGAATTAACATAACTTTTTATTAGCATGACACAACCTGTCCCCATCTGGACCTCTTTAATTATACGTCATGCCTCTTCTCACACCCTCTTCCTTCCCTTTTACTTTGTGAATACTCCAGGGTAGGAATCCAACCTTTGCTTCTGCATAGGGAAAGCTACACACATGGCGTACAGATCTGGAAATAGGTAACGAAATAGATCTTCGTTCCAGTGACTGTTTTTTTCCAGGACACCACTCCAGACTCTGTAGCAGCTGAAAAACTACTCTAGAATTCAGATTATCCAGCAAGCAACTCTAGTCTGATCAACATCTCGGCAAAAGCACAGCAGTGCCCCACTCCTGCTAGGCTGGCAGTTCCTTCTTGAGTGATTTTAAGATCCAGCCTCTCACTACTGAGCACCTACTGTTCTGAATTCCAGAAAGACTGCTTCTCTCTCCCATCTGCCAGCACTAAAAGAGCCTCCATTTCCTCAAGACACTTTTACTACTTTATTCCCACCCCTCTCACCCCCTCCCCCCCCCATCTTACAGCAAGCCATGCAGAGTAAGGCTGAGACATCATGAAGTAGGAAGCTATGACATCGCATAAAAAAAACCCCCCCACACCAACACCGAAATCTACTTGTTTAGAAGGAAAGTACCTGCCTAAATTCAGATGTCCCTCAAAAAATTAGGAAGGAAGAAAAGGAAGACACGGGGAAGAAAATTCTCCTGTCCCACCCTTACCAGCTCTGTGAAGAGACAGCAGCCGTCCCGGAGCCCGCAGCCACTGCCTGCAAAGAGATTTAAATCCACGTCACGGCGGTTCTTCGCTCCCTCGAACTTACATCACCAGGTACGAGGCATTACGCTTGTCTTTCGACTTCCTTCTAACATTTACCACAGCTGACGATCCCGGGGCCTGCAGCGTGTCTATTTATGCCGGCTGCCTAGAGGATACTGCCATATTCCCACCCCACTGTTCCGTGACTGCTCCTTCCCCCCGGCCAGGCAGCAGGCAGGCTGTCCCTCCTCCGGGGCACCTCCGAAAAAAGCCGCAGGCGTGGAGGGCAAATGAGGGTGGCAAGAGCTGGACGGAGGAGACCACCGGAGAGTCGCGGCCGCGGGGAGGAGAAGAGGCAGGTTACGGGAGAGGCACACCCCGGGGAGCAGGAGGGAGCAGGGACTGGGGG